TTCCCCATCATGCTTAGCGTTCTATGGCGTCACTTCCGGTGAACGCCAATATAGTCCTGGGAAATGGAGTCCTCAAATATGCAGTTTTTCGGATTCTCCTCGGCATATATATAGATGCAAACATGGCAATAGAGTCAGAAAGCAAGAAAAAGAAAGAATACCTATCAAGACATAATACACAAGCTGGGTTTCGGTTTTTATAAGTATTTTATTGTATTTTATATTTTTATATTGCATGTCTCTATTTATGAAAATAAGGACACATTATTTCCATCATGTTCTTTTTCTTGCTTTCTGACTCTATTGCCATTGCCGAGCGCCGGCCCTGCATAGTGTCTCCATGGGCCGGTGGGGAGATCAAAGATCTCCCTCACCGGCCCAGAGGCATGGAGATGCGGCCGCCAGCAGGAGAGGGAGTGAGGGAGGGAGGGAGGCAGGAGAGAGGACCGGCGGCACCCCTCACACGGCACAACTACACACATTACGCTCCAGATACATGCTAGATCCCTTACCTGTGAGCTTAACTTCTGTAACTGGGAAAATATTTGAAGGGCTTTTAAGGGATAATATTCAGGAATTCATTGGGAAGAACTTTATTATTAGCAATAATCAGCATGGTTTTAAATGCACTCTTAATCCTCTACACACAAACACACACACATACAATCTCCTATACACACTCTGAGTCCTTTACACACTAGATCTCCTACACACACACTGCCCCTAGCCACACATATTACACCACAAACACAAATTAAATTGACCTGTTTACACAAAACCACACCACACTCTACACACACGCAATCCCACAAGCAGGCTCCAAACACATACACCACACGCTTTCCTGGCCCTTTTGTCCTCTGGTATCCCACTTGTGGAGACACCAGAGACAATTTAAAAGCAAACACAGCGCAAGCATGTTATTAAATTTGCTTGCGCTGCGCAGAACAAATACAGGGCCTTTTTTCTAATGCTAGAGCTCTTTAGCAGGGCTCTGTGCATTGAACCAACATGCTCACTTTGAGAGGGGGCGTGTTTGTCTCTAGCCCAGCCCCCTCCTTCGGGGGCCGCTCTGATTGAAAAATGCCCGGGCCTAATTTTTTTCCCAGTCCGGCCCTGTAGGTAACCGGACCTTAGAATGGCCAGACTAACATACCAAGGAATAGCCGAGGTCAAAGGATACTGAAAGAGACACAACAATAAGGAAAAGCCAGGAGTCAGGGTTGCCAGAAAACAAGGAAGTCAAAAACAATGCCAAAGTCAAATAACCAGAATAATCATAATCAATAACACGCTCTCGGACAACCACAAGGGAAACCACGACATGGCACTGAGCAGGATGAGAACTGGGCCGAAATACCCCTCCTCTAGATCTGATAGGCTGTAACCGGCCTTTGACCCCAAAAGAAGTTACCAGGTTCCCATTTGCATAATTGCTGCTCAGCATTAACCCTTTTGTGTGACATTATCCCCCACCTGAAGAACGCCTACCGGGCGGACAGGACCAGGCTGGAGAGGAAATTTGGTGTGAAAATAGTGAATCTTGCGGCCAGCATGTATATCAGATGCCGGAACCCAAGAACAATCGGCTGGTCCATAACCTTTCCAATCCACCAAGTACTGTAAAGTGCCCCGAGAACCTGGAATCAATTATGGAGGAGACTTCATACTCTTCCTGTCCAGAAACAACTAAGGGAGGAGGAGGGACACTTGAGACAGTATATTTATTGCAAACAAGAGGTTTGAGCAAGGACGCATGAAAGGTATTAGGAATTTTCAAGGAGGCTGGAAGGGCCAGAGAGTGCGCAACAGGATTGATCTTACGAAGGACATGAAAAAGTCCAAGGAACATAGGAGCAAATTTCATGCTAGGGACTTTGATCCTGATGTTACGAGAAGATAACCAAACCCTCTCACCCACTTGGTAAACAGGGTTGGCACCTTGACGTGTATCAGCATAATGCTTGAAAAGGTCAGCAGCAGAACCCAGAGCAGATTGAACTTTAACCCAGGTATCACGGATGGAAGCCAGACGGTCATCCAAAGCAGGAATAGCCATATCAGAAAAAACAACCGGTAGGACAGTAGGATGCCGGCCATTATTAACAAAAAATGGACTATGCCCAGAGGAGTCATGGTCAGCATTGTTCCTAGCAAACTCTGCCCATGGTAGTAATTTGGACCAATTGTCTTGAGTGCTATTAACGAAACAATGCAAATATAGATTCAAGGACTGGTTAGCCCTCTCAGCTGTACCATTGGTCTGGGGGTGGTAAGAGGATGAAAAAGACAATTCAATCCCTAATTGTTTATTGAAGGCCCTCCAAAACCGAGACACAAACTGAGAACCTCTGTCAGATACTATATTGTGAGGAATGCCATGCAGACGGACAATTTCTCGTACAAAGATTATTACCAGGTCTTGAGATGATGGCAATTTCTTGAGAGGAATAAAATTAGCCATTTTAGAAAAACGGTCCACAACCATGAGAATGGTGGTATAACCGTTAGAATTAGGAAGTTCAACAATGAAGTCCATGGACAAGTGGGACCATGGGACCTCAGGAATTGGAAGAGGTTGTAACAAGCCACAAGGGAGCTTAGGAGGCACTTTGGAAACCGCACAAAAATAAGAAAAGGGCATTTAAATCAGACAAATCAAAGGCATCCTATTTAAGATATAAAGAAGTCAATAACGCTTGCAAAAAGGCAATTAAAGTGGCTAAACTAGAAAATGAGAAATTGATAGCTGTAGGTACACTTGAAACAGAGTTGGGTTTATTAGCTAATGAAGACTATTGATGTCGCGAACCGTCCGCGAACTTGCCGCGAACCGTTCGTGGCGAACTCCGGTCAGCTGACACATTCCTGCCAATCTCCGGCAGTCCCTCCCTCCCAGACCCTCCCACCTCCTGGACAGCATCCATGTTCAAGCTGCCTTCAACATGGATACTGTCCAGGAAGTAGTAGGGTCTGGGAGGGAGGGTCTGCCGGAGATTGGCAGGGATGTGTCAGCTGACTGGAGTTCGCCGCGAACGGTTCGTGGCGAACCGTTCTAGGCAAGTTCGCTGACGGTTCGCGACATCACTAATGAAGACCAGGAAAAAGCAGAAATTTTAAATAACAATTTTTCTTCAGTATATATTAATGAGGCTCCTATGTCAAGAGATATGCAAATGATTGCTGCAAAAAACTTGCAATTAACTTGTGATTGGATAACTCGAGACAAGGTTCTACAGCTATTAAAGAAAATTAATGTAAATAAAGCTCTGGGACCTGACGGTATTCACCCACGAGTACTTAAGGAGCTAAGTGGGGAAATAAGTGAACCTCTGTGTTTTAATTTTCAAGATTCTTTTGTTTCAGGTGTTGTACCAGAGGATTGGAGGAAGGCAGATGTTGTTCCTATATTTTAAAAGGGTTCAAAATCCTTGCCTGGAAATTATAGACCTGTGAGCTTAACTTCTGTAACTGGGAAAATATTTGAAGGGCTTTTAAGGGATAATATTCAGGAATTCATTGGGAAGAACTTTATTATTAGCAATAATCAGCATGGTTTTATGAAACATAGGTAATGTCAAACTAACCTAATTGCATTCTACGAAGAAGTAAGTAGAAGTATAGATCAGGGTGTTGCAGTGGATGTGATCTACTTTGATTTTGCCAAGGCATTTGATACAGTTCCTCACAATAGGTTAGTCTTCAAACTAAAAGAAATTGGTCTAGGTGAATATTCTTGTTTTTGGGTAGAACATTGGCTTAAGGATAGAGTACAACGAGTTGTAATTAATGGTAAATTTTCAGGCTGGACAAAAGTGGTAAGTGGTGTCCCTCAGGGTTCTGTTTTGGGACCACTTCTAGTTAACATATTTATAAATGATCTTGAAATGGGCATTGAAAGCCATGTATCAGTGTTTGCAGATGACGCAAAACTTTGTAAAGTAATAAAATGTGAGCAGGATATTGCTTTGCTGCAGAGAGATTTGGATAGATTGGGGGACTGGGCACTAAAATGACAGATGAAATTTAACATAGAGAAATGCAAAGTTATGCACTTCGGGGTTAAGAATGCACAAGCAACTTACACACTAAATGGTAGTGAATTAGGGATAACCACTGTAACGGCACCCTGAGCATAAAAGGGTTAAACCGCTGTTTAGAAGATCTTCCTCTTCCAGAGACACAGGCACAGCTACTGCAGAACACCAATCCGCCGAACAGGAAACCATACGAATGCTGTAAACAGCCGAATAGGAAAAACCATACGAAAGGTTTACACTCCTAGCAGTCAAACTGGAACAGCATACAATAAATCCCCCCCAAGAACGAGACAAAGCTCTGTGTTGAGGGTCAAGCAGTGAACAGTCAGAGCTGTGGGTTTATTGTGCTTATGTACACATTCTTACACATTAGTACCACCCACAGGGTTTTGGAACACAACCAACAAACACATACAATACACTCAGACACTCCCACACAAAATCCTCCCCTCTGCCTGTGATACAATTACCTTACACAATGGGTAATGTAATTATAACAAGCAGAGAAATACAATTTTTCCACATTATTCATAACTTGAAAAGTATGCATCACATTCACATTCAGAATCAGCATACTCCAAATACAAACATATGTCAAAATCATCCAAATTGGTCCAGTGGTTCAAAAGATAGATCATAGTCCTTTGTGACCAAAGGAAGCATGGCTTTTCTGCCCAAAACCAGTTCCACAGAGTCTTCTATCCTGGAGATAATTGTGAAGTAATCCAATTATCTCCAAGGACCTAGGCAAAACTCAATTGAACACATGGCAGCAAAAGACGATAAAACACATAAAAACATATAACTGTGCAGCCATTGCACAAAACAGGTACATTCAACATATCCCCAGATAGCTCAGATCTGAGCGCACATTATTACTGAATGTCGCTCAGAGCACACACATACAGTTCAATTGCCATGGAGCCAAAGTCTTTCCCATAGTCTTTCATTATAGACTATCATTTCATAGCTATCTGGGGTATCACCGCTCAAACAGGGCAAGCACCAAATGACCCAGCTTTCATGTCTTTGCAGGGGAAAATCAAGCCTTTTAACATGGGGCCATAATCCAAAGGCAACAGGCGAGCAACCAGGCTTCTCCAATGCAATGTGGTGAGATTGGTCTCATCACAACCACACACGAGAAGGATTTGGGAATTGTTATAGACAACAAATTAGGCAGCAATATGCAATGTCAATCTGCAGTTGCTAAGGCCAGTAAGATTTTGTCATGTATAAATAGGGGCATAAATTCTCGGGATGAAAATATAATTTTGCCTCTTTATAAATTGCTGGTAAGACCACACCTTGAATATGCTGTGCAATTTTGGGCGCCTGTTCTAAAGACGGATATCATGGCACTGGAGAGGGTCCAGAAACGAGCTACAATATTGATAAAAGGAATGGAGCATTTTAGTTATGAAGAAAGGTTAAAAAAATTAAATCTGTTTAGTTTGGAAAAACGGCGCTTGAGAGGGGATATGATAACTTTATACAAATATATTCGGGGCCAGTACAAACCTTTATCTGGAAATCTATTCATAAACAGGGCTATACATAGGACATGAGGTCACACATTTAGGCTGGAAGAAAGGAGATTTCATCTAAGGCAAAGAAAAGGTTTTTTTACAGTAAGAACAATAAGGATATGGAATTCTCTGCCTGAAGAGGTGGTTTTGTCAGAGTCCATACAGATGTTTAAACTGAAATTGGATAAATACTTACAAAAACATTACATACAGGGATATAATTTCTAATTAGTGGGGTAATAGCTGCTTGATCCAAGGAGACATCTGACTGCTATTTTGGGGTCAAGAAGGAATTTTTTCCTAGTTTGTGGCAAAATTGGAAGCGCTTCAGACCAGGTTTTTTTGCCTTCTTTTGGATCAACAGCAACAACATTTGTGAGGAAGGCTGAACTTGATGGATGCAAGTCTCTTTTCAGCTATGTAACTATGTGACAAACCTTCACCTTCATGATATTAACCCTTTCCCCCAATGGAACGAGCCGTTTGTCCTGAGGTTTACCGCAGGGCGCCTGAGACTAAGCCTCCATGATGGAGCCAAGCAGTGGAGAGGACAATGAAAGGGCAGTGGATGCAATTATACATTCCGGGGGAATGTGATCTGTGGATCTATTTAGAGCATTATACCTATTTTCAAGGTGTATTGGTTCTTTATTATGGGCAGGTTTAGATCTTTCATATGTCGCTCTGTCCCTGTAGTTGGTTTTATGGGAGTTGAGTCATAATAATAGAAGGTAGCAGCACACACCGTGAAAGAGAGAACTAGGAGTTAACAAAGTTTGCAAATTGATTACTGTGTGGAGTGCGCTTATAGATACAATTAGGTGTAAAGAAGCAGCTGCACACTCTAGTGGGTGCTCTCTTACCCCCACTAAATGCAATATGGAACCAAAGTGAATTTAGTGCAGTCTGGATAGAGTATCTAGACTATACTAGTCAAATGAGTGGCGCGCTGAGAGTGTACACTTACCCTAAAATAGGGTTTAGAATTCAGCTGTGCATTGGTACGTATACATGAAACAAAATAAATAAAACACAATATACTGTGAATCCACAGACGATAGTGTATTATAGTGAGGTTTTAAATGATTAAACTCACATGGATTAGAGCCTCAAAAGGACAGGTTCGAATCTCTTGCACATTGCTGTCATATGGGGACACTGAACCCTCTTGTCTGGAATGGTTTTCCTCAGGAGAAAGAACAAAAAAAGGAGACTTCCTTTTTTTAGAGCCAATGAGAACCTGGCTCTGGATGATAGACCTGGGGCCTTTAGAGGGGGGCACCTGCCCTTCTGATCTGGGCGAACAACATATCCCGAGTTCCATGGAAGTCATATTTGACTGCAAGCATGGCTTTCATGCCCAAAAGAGTTCCACAGATTTAGGCTGTGCAGTCGGTCTATCTTCTCCTTCAAATAAAGTACTAATTGCACGAACGGATCCGTTCGTGCATAGCTTCATTATAATTGTCTTGTTTGTTAGTTTATTCCCTTAGAATAGCGCTCCGTTTGTATGGATTTAGCCGAACGCACGGAAGGTAGAAGTCTCAGCAGTGTTCGTGGAAATAGTAGCCGAAAATAGTTCCAGGCTAGCTGAGCGCGTTCGGCTAAACAAAATGGCCGCTGCCACGTGTTTGTTCATACGAACGCCAGCCACCCAGCCGTTTGTCAATTAAGCTGCGGTTAACCACAGCTTCTGGGTGGTTAACGAGCAGCACACTCCACAGGCAGAGTGGTCAACTGTTAATCGATTTGTTCGGTAAACTCAATTTACCGAACCACATAGGGAAAAAGGCACGAACAAGCCTTTATGCAATCTGAGAACAAAGTGTTAGCCAGGGGCCATAGTCATAGGACAGGAAGCTGGCAATCAGACTCCTCCAAAAGCCAATGGCAAAGGGTAGTTTGTCACAGTAATATTATACCTTCGGGTTCAGAATCCTATATCATAAACCCAGTCCACATGGTTCCGGCCAATCTCAGGAAAGATATCCTGGAAGGCAAGGATGTTAATCTTGTATCACTCTTGATTGCCTCTCCTAATATAGTGGAGAATCGCACATATGCTTACGGTGATATTTCTGTTGTGTTGAAGGCTAAGGACCCTAGACTAAGTAAGGAATTGTCTATACCTGATTTTGTCATTGCTTTTGGGATTTATAGTGATGTCATATTCTCTGTACACCCGCATAGACGAGAGGAACTTGATCTCTACTTACATAAGCTGGTGTACTTAGGTAAAAAAATACGGTGGCTCGTCATTTTATGATTACCACCGGTTCTTTTCGGCTAAGGCGTCTGCAATTCTGGCTCAGTTCAACATCAAAAGTGACTGGAGCCGAATGGACACTGAGCTGTTTTGCAGGCACTCTGCCGGACTAAATACACAAGCTTGTGCAATTTGTGCATCCACCTCAAATGACTCGGACTATTGTCCCATCTTACCCGACTCCACCCCTATGATTTTTCAAGGGGCACATACAAGGACCGACAAATCAGGCAAGGACAAGCTTGGCCGTCCTATTGTTTATTTGGGTAAATCGCAGGTGTGTAATAATTTCAATGTAGTTACGTGCGGTTATAGTACCTGCCACATGTGTTCTCACTGCTTTTAGGGCTCATGCGAAGTCCCTGTGTCCAAATAAAACTCATGCTAAACCTTACCTGACTTCAGTGAATATTGGTTCTCTGGCTCGCGCCGTAGCTACTCACCCTTCCAAACACCTAGATTTCTTGATTGATGGCTTTACTGAAGGGTTCCATACAGGTCTTATTCACATTTCTGCTGGCATTTTCGAATGCAATAATCTCCAGTCAGCTTTGGCTGATACAGAGACGGTTGATACACTGTTACAACTAGAACCAGAGGATGGGTTTTTATTGGGACCTTATAAGGCACCCCCATTCTTCAATTGGAGGACTAACCATATAGGATTGGTCACAGGGAAGTCCTCAGGGAAACACAGACTAATTTTAGATCTTGCTGCACCTCACTCCATGGCTATACCTAGCCTTAACTCTTTAATTTACCTCACTCCATGGCTATACCTAGCCTTAACTCGTTATCCCTTCAGTATGCCACAATAGACAATGCCATAAACACCATTATTACTGCAGGAGTTGGAGCCTGGCTGAGTAAAACGGACTCTATTAATGCCTTTAAGTTGCTTCCCATACGTTCATCTCTATGGCATCTGCACGGTCTTAAATGGAAAGGCCTGTACTATTTTTTTTTTACAAGACTCACTTTCAGGTCGAAAAGCAGCCCAAAAATTTGCGACACGTTCGCTGAGACCTTGTGTTGGCTTTTGCTGAACAAATGCAGGTGCTATACAGTGATACACTATTTGGATGATTTTCTGTTTGTCGAAAATAATTCCTTTTCACTTGTGATTTAACCAAGGCCATTTTGTTTTTATCTTTCCTTGGGGGTATTGGTCTCAGAAGACCCAGGCACTTTGGTTAATTTTTTGGGTATCCTACTCAGTTCTGTGACCATGGAAGCCAGTCTCCCTTCAGGTAAATTTGATAGCATCCTGCAGGCTATCTGAAAATTTTTTACAAGTGGGGACCTGCAATCTGAAGGAATTGCAATTTTGACATACAAATTATCCCACAAGGTAGAGCCTTTATTTCAAGACTCCTTTGCCTACTCCCCAAATTGTCCAACTATTTTAGTCTTATTTCCCTGAATTCCCATGCTACGGCTGATCTACTAATGACCTTACAATGGAATGGGAGGAGTATGTTTGTTTCTCCCACAGCTGTCTATACACTCTCACATCATTTAGACGGATGCTTCACGTTCCACAGATTTTGCAGGCCATATTTGGCGACAAGTTGCTCTGGAGTAGTTGGCCAGAGGAGGTGCAGCTTATTGAAGGGTTCTCCCACACCTCAACCTTATTTAAGGTATACCCTATCATAGCATCAGCTGTGGTATGGGGTCATTCATGGGCGGGTTGATCAGTGCATTGCTTTTCCGACAACCAAGCTACCTGCCATATTATTAACAAAGGGCATTCCTCCTCACTAACTATAAAGAGGTTCATTAGGAGACTGTCATGGTTGCAGTCTGTAATCAATTCTATCTGGTTTGTTGTCATGTTCCCGGGGTTTTCAATACTGCAGCTGACAAGTTGTCCCGCTTTGACTACCAGGCCTTCAGAGACACATTACCCACGGCCTCACTGACAGCCACTGCTGCCCCTCCATTTCAGGAGCTAGTCATGGATTAGAAGAGTTATTGGATCATGGTCTCATCTTGACTAGCTTGGCCCGTTCGGATAACACGCAACTGTCTTATAATAGTGTTCTCATTGTATAAAAAAATTAATGTTGGAACACAACCTGGTTCAGTTATTCGATATCTCATGCTGTATTTAACCGGCATTCAGCACTATATGTATTCAGTATATCCAAACAACTCTAGTTTTCTGTCTTCATACCATATCAAGACCATACTGAAAGGCATACACAAAGTTAGTAACACTACCCCACTTCAAAGGTTACCCATTCACAAACAGATATTCAAGGATATGTCAGACTTATTAGACATAACCCCTTTCGAACAAGTCACAAATTCAGTCATCAAGACAGCTATCTACTCTGCCTATTATGGATTTATTAAGCCACGCAAGTTCACCATACATAGTAACAGAAACTCAC